AAGTGTCACTCAACCTGCAGTTGTCCGTGGCCCTCCTCTGGCTTGAACTTGGCTCCCTACCAGCTCAAACTCAGCTCCTTGACTTTCTGCCCATTTGAACTCAGCTCCCTTACCTTGACACTAGAAGGTGCTAAATGCAGCCTGTGGTTGCTCTGAGTTCTGAGCTCAGTTGGCACCCCTCCAAGATGGCTCCCACCCAATTGCATCCTATGGGAGACATCTAAACCCAAATAACTTAGCAGCCACTGCAGTCTGCTGAGTCTACTGCTCCATTTCCCTGGTTGGTTTCTCTGTGGAGGCCTCTGGGATCACCAGTAGTCACTGTGGGTCTGCTGGTTCAAGCAGCCCCTCTAGTGCAGTGAGTCCAGGCTCAGGGAGAAAGTGTCACCTGCCACCTCTTCCTTCACTGAAGTCTCTGTCTTCACTCTCCCAATGGGCTTCAGTTCTCACTTCAGATCTTTCCTGTGTCCTGGGGATCCACCTCCCTCCCTCCTTCTCCACCTCCTCAGGTTGCTATATTACAGTATCTGGACAATAAATTTCAGAAAGGTTCTTTCTCTGTTGCTTACCACACCACCACACCATCTTCCTGGAAGTCCATACTTGTATTTATTCTTGAATGCTTGTCTTATCAAAATATCCTTCCTCTGATCATTTTCATCCCACTTTCTATCTCTTTTTTTCTGATCTCACTCCAAAATATTATTTGTCCAACAATACTTTGCATTCAGCCATATTTGCTTTAAGGTTGATCTTTATTTTAAAAACATCATAACCAATGAGCATTCTTTGATCACTCAGATGGTGGGTTTGTGCTGTGAGCACCTGTTCAGCTGAACTGTATTTCCCACACTCAAAGTCCTATTTCTTGTATGTTTCTAATTAGCACAGACCAAAATCTAGTGAAATTCACAGAGAAGGATGGATGCAAGGCTATTTATGTAGCTGGTATGTGATTTTGATAATCTTCAGATGCACCTCTGTACCATGAAGAAGCAGCTGGCCTCTATGTTTTTGAATTTCTCTTCAGCCAAGGGACTTCCAAGCTACAAGTGTGTGTTTGCTTCATGATGAAAGGCCTAGATTTCTACAGGTTTCCTCTTCATTGCCAAGGTCAGAGGCAACCAGGACATAGCAGATTTCAGTCTATGCTCAAGAAAGCTCCAGTTCATGGATTTCAGCCTGTTGGCACTCCTCCATTCTGGACCACTTGCTCTATGGACTTCAGATACCATCATCCAGAGAGACACAGCCTTACAGAGACCATGTCACCATCTCCACAGGTGTGTGAGCCTCCCTGAACAAATCCCTAAAGGTGTTGCTTTTCTACTTGAACCTTAATTGATGTACCCTACTGGATATGCTAAATTCTTGGGTTTTGAGGGATTAAGAGTTTTATGATACAGTCCTTGTTATGGTTTGTGTCTGGATGTCTCCCTAAAGTCTCAAGCAGTCAGGGAGGGTGGGCTTTCCAGAGGCACCTGAATTTAGAGTTTGTGGCTCTAGATGGTCCATGTTTCAATGCTAAGATTAAGGATGAGAGTGCTACACCCGTGCTAGGGCAGGTAGCCTGCATAAGATATAAGGGAAAGAAAGGGGCTTGTTTCTTGCTTTCTTGTTGCTTTTTGCTATCTTCCATCAGCCCAGCCACCATGAACTGTTGTCCCTCTGCCATGTGCCACCCTGCCTTGCAGCCAGCCAATTATGAACTAAAACTTCGACAAACAGTGAGCTAGATAAATCTCTCTTTCTTTAATATTGGGTGTCCAGATATTTTGTCCCAGCAAAGAGAAAAACTAAGACAGAATTTGGTACCAGAACTGGGTTTGTTGCCAGACTATACCTGACCATGTGGTTCAGAAGCCTTTGGGAATGGTTTGTGGAAAGAGTTTGGAAAGTTTCAGAGATGCCAGCTTGAAAAGTAGAGCTGGAATGCCTTTGGCTGTACTGTATCAGAGATTCTTGTCATGGCTCAGAAGGCCAGAAGGCTGATAGAAATCCTGTGGGTAATGATGAGGCATAGATGTCTTTTGGGAAGAAGGACTTCATTGGTTGTTGGATTCCAGACACTGTATGTTATGAATGGGCAGAAAATTTGTCCTTCTTTTGCTCATGTCCAGAAACTTTTCCTGAGACTGAGATTAAGGGTGGTGGGTGGACCAATTAATCTAGCAGAAAAATTTCAAGGAGTTCTAATGTTGAGGCAGTGGCATGGCTGCTGTTGGGGGTGCTTTTAGCCAGATGTGTGTTGAGAATCAAGAACAAAACACCCAGCAGGATGATTTAAAATGTTGTGAGTTTGGTCATAAGGGAAGCTCCAGTCAAGATGGCAACCACAAAGATAGAACTGAGGAGATCTTGATTGCTGAGAAGGAACAGAATAATAGAAAATATGGCCTGAGGACATAGCAGGAAGAATCAAGTCTCCACTCTTTGCACCCTCAAAACTGCAAAAGTGAAAGATTGCTTTGAGAAGATAGCCCCATAACACCATGTTCCAGAATGGTGGCAGCATAGAGAATTTGGTCCTCAAAACTGATTCAGAATGCTCCATGATCCAGCCACTTGATGCCTATAGCCAAGAAAGAGTGAAGCTTGGCTACTACTCCAGCAGGCAGCAGACATTGGCATCATCTATGTGGTGTTGGTTTTAGGTCCATACAAAGCACAAGAGTTGTGGAGTCAGGAAGGCTTCCACCCAGATTTCAGAAGAAGGCCTGGAAGGCCAGGAACTGTGCCCTTTGAGGGCAATGTATGAATCTGTTAATGTGAAGCCAAAGGTGCATTGGTGACCCCAGAATTTTGGAGAAGCCAGGAACGTGAATCATCTAAGGAAAACTGCAAAGAAGAAGCATAGCCAACATAAGAGAGAAGGCATGTGTGCTACAACTGCGAGCAGTGCTATGCAGGTGGAGCCACTCAAGCCCTTTGGCTTTCACATCTTGTCACAGATTGCCTGGGATGCTGTGACAAAACTACAGAACTTAATGTTTGCCCTGCTGGATTTTCGATGGCTTTAGACCCATTCTTTTGTATCCCCATGTTTGTAACTTTTAGAATGGAAGTGTCTATCTTGTGTCATTGAATGTTGGAGTGTTTAACTTTCTTTTCATTTATACAGGAGCTTGCAGGTAATCTTAGATCTTAGATCTCAGATTATCTTATTTATCTTAGATCTCAGAGGAAACTTGGGACTTAGACTTTTCAACATGTTGAAACTGTTAGGGCTTCGGCAACTCTTGGAGATGGACTAAATGCCTTTTGCATAAAGAAATATGTATGAGTCTTTGGAGAGCCAAAGTTGAATGTTATGGTTTGTATATGGATGCCCCCCAAAAGCTTCATGAACTCATGGGAGTGAGATTTTTGGAGACAGCTGAATCTAGAGTTTGTGATTGATTCATGGTCCATGCTGATTAAGGGTGTGAGTGCTACACCCACCCTAGGGTGGATAGCTTGCATACAGTATAAGAGACAGAATGAAGTTTCTCTCCCATTTTCTTGTTGCTTTTGCTGTCTTCCACTGTCATGAACTGTTGCCCTCTGCCATATGCCACCCCACCTTGGAGCCAACCAACTATGGACTGAAACCTCTACAAACTGTGAGCTAAATAAACCTTTTCTTCTTTAACCTTGGGTGTCAAGTATTGTGTCTCAGCAGCAAGAGAAAAGTAACTAAGTGTTTGGCCTAAAGATAATTAAAATGCAAATGAGGGGATACAATCATATATGTGTAATTTGTTTCCTCAAATAGGTTGCATGATTTGAAAGGAAAAAAAGCCTTCTATATGAAATGAAGTTCCTCACTAAAGCTCCTTAGTCCCAATATAGCAAAAGGAATTCAGAAATAGTCCTATAAAGTTAAAGTACTTTCTTCTCAGGTAAAGATCAACAATTTACCAGCCACCTTCTGAAGTGAAAGTCTCATTCAAATCATCCCCAGATCACAACAGATGGGAATGGGACGTTTCTGCAGGAGACCTCGCCAGATCAGTCTGTGCTAATCACTGTTGGTTCACTTCATGTCTCTGTAAGACTTAACCTGGGCAGATGGTGGGCATGCCTCTTAAGTTGCTTTAAGTTTTCCCCAAAATCAGCACAAACTGCATTCCAGGATAAAAGCCACTGGAGAAGGAAGAAAGCACTTATGCTGAAAGGCTTGATGCTTATCCTCTTCTCCCTCCTCAGACAGTAAAAATAAAGGCGTCATGTAACTGTCTCATAGGGAGATGGAGTTGCAGGCAGCTCTACAAAGCCCAAGCTATCAGCTCATTTTGCAAAAATAGAACAGCATCTTGTGGCTCAGAGATTTATTTCCAGAGCCTGCCTATTCTTTTCTGGAAGCATAAATTAGGTTCTTTTCAGTCACATTAAGAGGAACCTAATTGCATAATTCATTCCATGCAGACTTTTCTACCTATAACAATTCTGGCCCTGTTGAAAGCAAAGCCAGTCTTACCATGATTGAGCTAATACAGTGTTTTGTGTAAACACAACCCCTTTACCTGAGAAGATCAAAGTCATTATTTCTAATACACTTTCACAACAACCTGTAAAGTATGTAAGTGGTGAGTATTATTATTCATAGCAGATAGAAAAGACAAATCACAGTGCATGGGTGAGACTGGTTATTCTGACTCTTAGATCATTATTTCCCACCTTTTGTCACCTTATCACTACTTTCCCCACCCTCTTCTTGAGTTGATATCAGAAATTCAGAAATAGTACACCAAATGATATGACTTCTACAGGCAAGAATGTGAATGTGGTATTCTGGTGAATGTGGTATGCCCACCAGAAATGTAACCTAGGATCCCAGGTTCCCTGCTCCTTCTCAGAATTGCCATAATATTATGAAGCACTTGATTAGTGACTAAAATTCTGCAAATGATGATTTTGGCAAAGCCATGGACTGCTCACTCCTGTATTAATCAGATCAGGCTGTCATCACAAAATACCAACAACTATATGTCTTAAACAACAGATACTTATGCTCTCACAATTATGAAGGCTGGGAATCCAAGGTCAAGTTTCCCTCCAATTTAGTTCCCGGTGAAGCAGTCATCCCGGTTGGTAGACTTCTGCCTTCTCACTGTTTTTGTGGTGGAGATAAAAAGATAAAGTTCTCTGGTGTCCTATTGTGTAAAAACACTAATTCTTTTATGAAGATACAACCCTCATGACATCATCTAAGCCTATTTCTCTTCAAAGGTCCCTCTGCTGTACAAAAATCAGTGTACACCACTAACCAATCCCAATCTCTATATGCATTGATAATTCCTGTTAAGGTTCCTAGATCCAGCAGGATCTAAACCACATCAGGCAGAATATGAGTCCAGTGAAACAGGATATAGCATGTCAGGCAGAGCACAGGTATCACTCATACATAGGCAGCAAGGATAAACAGAAGCCTGTGATCCATGGAAAACTACCTCCCCCCAAGATCCAGGGAAGCTTCCAGAGATAAAATAAGTTAGCATTTTCATCCTTTGCACAGCATCTGTGGGACCACTGAAGCTGATGTCTGCCTTTCCACTCTGGTTTTAAGCCCTGAGAGGCTGGGACCACTGAGTAAAAGCACTGTAGGACACCCTATTCCAGAAGGAATGAAGATAAAACCTGTTCCAGAGTTCCTCTTTATCTAGGGATTCTAAATTCTCAGCATACTGTGCAGTTACCATGAGGGCTACAAGCAAGAAGAGCTGAGTCAGCCACATCTATCCAGAGACCTGTTTTCCTACAAACCCACCTCTAAACACTACCTCAGTGGGGACTAAAGGTTCAGCATATAAATTTGGGGATCACTATTCAGTTCATCACATTCTCTCCTTACTTTATGAAGCAAAAAAATTGTGTCCACTCCCTTTCACAGTGTCATATCCAAACATCATACCGTGTCCTGTGTCCTCCTGGGAATATCCTGATCTTCTAGCAATGTGGCTCATGAATCAATGCACTTCTTTATCACCACTGCATATGTGACTCCTGCTTTCTCATATGTGGGAGGCTTAGATTTCTCTTTTATAGGCATGTTCGCCACTCCAATGGCAGCTGCAATTTTAAGCAAGCAGAATTTCCATGTGGGTAATGCATGCAAGACCTGAATTTCTGTTCTTTGTTTTCTTCCCCCAGATTACCTGCTCTTATATGAATCTTCATCCATCCACAATCATAATCACAAACCAGACTGAAATATATCTTTGATGAAATTCCACAATCAGGTCACATCTATCTATCCTTCTAGCTTGTGTGATAGCCATACCTCTATTCTCCCTAGAAGCCACAATCTATTTTCCACTCCATTTCTTTTTTTTAATCCCTTTTATCTTTTTTCTCATCTATCTAGGGTGTTTTACTTTGCATCAAAAATATCCTCTACAAGACTTATGCATGCAGAATGGAGTTTCTGGAAGATATTAGATTATGGGGAGCTAATCTCATCGATACATCAACCCATGGATAAGTTCATAATGATAAAGCAAGAGAGACTATATTTTCTGTTTTTAACACCATATTAAGAGAAGTCACTTGAAGTTTACTTAAGCTGTAGTTCACCCCAGTCGCCTTGGTTAGTTATCAACTCTGCAGAGCAGAGTCATAAAATGGGAACCGAACAAATAGGACAAAGTGGGAAGTGGGCTAAAAGTTAAACCACAATGGTCATTTGGAACTTGGTCATCTGACCTTCTGGGAGAAGTAAACTTTGTGATAATTGTGTGACATTCTTGTAAGATTCCCAAAAATGAGGTAATGGTTACCATGGAAACCTAAAATGTATTTAAACTGAAGGAGAGACCCAGATCATGGCAAACATCTTCTCTGGCTCCTGGTTAGAGACTGTCCATCAGCCAGCTCCAATAAAGCTCTGTTCATTCCTGCCTTTTGAGTTTTCTTGTGAGTGCATTTCTTGATGGGCTCACTTGGAAAATCAATAGCTGACTGTGCTGCTGGAGGTGGGGTCAGGTTGGAAGAAATAGATCATAGTTCATATTTTTGAAGAGTATATCTTCTTTCAGGCTCTTCCTTGCTCTCTCTGATTCCTGGCTGCCATTGAGGTGATCAGCATTCTTCTATCATGCCCTTCTGACATGTTTCTCCCCTGGTGTCAAGTGGCCATGGACTGCAACCTCTGCAAACCTCTGCAATCATGAGCCAAAGAAAACCTTTTCTCCTTTAAATTATGTATGTCAAGTTTTTATTCTAGGAATGGAAAATTTTACTAATACAAAAGGCTGTATGTCATCCCTTTAGCACTCTTCTAAATTCTCTGGGCCTGTTGTCCTTTTATTGTATCCATTTGAAATACCCAATTGTTGAATGAACCCATCTACCTACACAGGATGCTTAGAACTGATGGAGAAATTAACCAAACCAGACAGATCAGCACTATCATACTCATATGATTGTCAGCCTCAGCTGGGCTGTCTTCACTCATTCTTATCAGAGGCTCTACTTCACAAGAAAATATTAGTCATTATACAGACAGTCCCTTAACTTCTGTCAACCCCTCTATAACCAGCTTTTATATACAGAATCAGTCAATTCCATTTTCTTATTTGTCATAGAAACCATTTTTTTTTAAATCTACATTTCTCTCACAACTTTAGGCTGGGTGTCTTGCTTTACCCTAGCTGTGATGGATAATGGGCTAATTGACAATTTGAGTGTGGAAACCCAGCTGAATTGAGGCAGCATGGTTCTGGGTGAGAAAGAAACCCTGAAGGATTATTGTCAGAATGATATTAAAAAGAGAACGAGTGGGAAGGATTTCAGCAGAACTTCCTGGGAGGAGTTTTGTTGGGACTGCTTTTCTTCAGAGACATTTATTTCAGCAGTTTTTCTTTGAAAGAGCTTTGGCTGTTTTCTTTCTTTAGAGGAGCTTCAACCTGTTCATCTTGAACATTGTCTCCTGGCTACCAGTCAGATCCCTCAGCCTTCTGGCACAGACCCTTCAGCCTTTTGGCACAAACACTTCGGCTTCCAGCACTGGCCCCTGGGCCTTTCTGGCACAGATCCTTCAGTCTCCCAATACCTATCCTTCAACCTCCTGATACAGACTTGCATGGGACCTTGCCATGGGCCCCAAGCCTTCACCTAGATTCTTCAGGTCTCACTGTTCAGATAGATATTTCATACTCTTCTACATCTGACTCTAGTAAGCATTGACTGATGCACTAACTCTACTATTATACAGCAAAAATAGAAGTCATTAGATAAAAATCAGCAACCACCACTGAATAATCTGCACACTCTGTGCACAATTTCCTCCATTTTTATCCCCTGTATTCTTCCTATATTATTCATTTCTTTTACTAAATTTTTCCCATGAGGATTTAAATATGATCTACTTCTCCCGTTTCACAATAAATAAAAATTTCTTCTGGCTCTGTTAGCTGCTACCCACACTCACTTCTCCTGTCCATATCTAAATGTGCTCATAGCATTTTGCAAACTTGTTTCCTGTGTTTTATCACTATCCCTTCCTGTGTCTGTGTATTACCAGCTAATTCCTGGCCATGGCACAAAAACTGCTCTCACCAAAGACCTAACCAGTTTAGGAAACCATCACCCTGACCTCAGCTTTTAATACTGTTCCTGGTAATTAGGAAAGTGTTTATTAAATATTTGCCAAAGAAATGCAAGTACCAAGAACAGGAATGAATTCAGATATTTTCCCTTAGAAGTGGTAGATTCATATATTCATTCAGCTAGCATTAATTTATCATTCAACAAATATTAAATGACTATATGCTATATGTCAGGCTATGGTTAGATTTGAAATAATAAAATGAATAGAAACAGCCCCCAAAGATCTACGTGCTTGGAGAGAAACCTGGTAGCAAATAATATAAAAAATAATATGCTTAGGTACTCTAAAAGATGTATAAATAAAGTGTTGTACAAGGTCAAATGATGCCAGTGGGTAGAGAGAATACAGGTGTCACAAATACTGCTAAAGTCTGAGGATTCTTCCAAAAAACATGGGAGATCTTGGAGGGTCTCTTGTCATCATCAAATTGCTTAAGGGCTACCAAAGAACTTCTCAAAAACATCTAACTCTAGCAAGTTTTATGTATTCTGAACTACTCAGGTACAAAATTCTTAATTTATTCTGCCAGTAAAGTGTAACAAAGAGAATGTTTCAGTGTGTGCTATGGACTGTCACATCTGTCCTCAACGAGTAAGTGCAGAATGGTACATAATTCAACCCACACCACTTTTTAAAAAATTCTAGTCAACCAAAATTCAACTGTACTATATTCTGTAGTGACTTTCTTTTCCTAAATATAAAGAGTACTGTCAAAATAAGAAAAATTCTCTATCAAAGATGCCAAAAATTAGAGTTGGCAACTAGTAAAAACTTTGGAATATATTGGTTTAGCAATTTAACTATGTCTAAATAAGACTTAATGATAGCAAGTTATTTTTGCTATGTTTTTAAAGATAGGGCCTTGCCCATGCTGAGCATTCTATCACTGAGCTACATCTCCAACCCTCACAAGTTTAGCTTCCATATTTGCTTTGTTTTGTTTTTGTTTTGTAAGACGGGGTCTTGTTATCTCATCTAGACTGTCCTTGAGTTCACTACATAGTTCAGCTTGGCCTTGAACTCATGATCCTCCTGAGTGCTGGGATTCTATGTATTCACACATTATTTTTGACAAACCAAATTTTTCGTTTTGTTATTCATACTTTTAATAGAATCTTAATCTTCACCCTGTGTTGTGCAATGGATCTTGGTATCTTTAATTTCTCTGGGGAAACAAAAGTTATAGTGATTGCCAAATTATCTTAATTTAAAAGAATAGATAAAATTCTTAGAAAAAGGTACTGGATGTAAGGATGATCTGGCTGTGACATCCATCACCCCACGGATCACCAGTGTTGATTCAGCTGGTTTGACTGGCCAGACACATGTCCCTTTCCTCCCTCATTGCTCTATGTGTATCCCTGCTGAAGCTCCACGTTCGGTCAAAGAAAGCAACCTTCCCAGATCCAGGAGAACCATTTTCCAGTCAAGGGTAGAAGCTCCACACAAGCTCTCACAAAGCGATGCAGAGGAGTCAATAACACTGAAGCATCACTGTTGTGAATGACTCATATTAATTTAAGAATGTGTTCCCTTCTATTAACAATTCTAAATTTCCTTTATGCATGACCAATCCTTATTATGATGTGAAATGTTTAATATAAAGCAAGTTGTTGATTGTTCTTTGATCTTTCAATTCACTTAGATAGGTGTGGATAGCTTTAGTTGAAGTTGTATCATCACTAAAATTTGGAGATCTTTATGGAAATTTTAACACATTGATTGAGCAGGTTAATAAGAAACCCGGTTCTAGGAAGATCTGAGAGAAGTTTGGGGAAGTCATCCCATAGCCAAGTGTAATGAAAATGAGCAGCGTTCTTAGGTAAAAGTGTTACCATTACAAAGAAGAAGGTCTAGTGTATATCATTTGAGCTTATGTTCTTATCCATTGTACCCATATGAGGTGAGCTATAAGTAGCAACTTAGACAGCCATTTACATAAAAACTGTAGCCATCAAGTATACCC